TCATGAGCTATTGCAAACAGTGAAAAAACCCCAACAAATCAAAGTGAGAAAGGGCAAAGGACAACGTCAAGAAACCAAGAGCCAGCGGGGCGGCCGCTCTGCAGGAACGCGGGCCACGGCAGCTTCCCTGCCTGCAAACCGCGCTGAAGCCTGCACGCTTACCGCGACGTACATCCGCGCTCGGGAGCAAAGGGCGAGAAGCAAAGCCACCTCCTGCGGACACGACCCCGCTGATGTCTCCCCTCCGTGGCTCTGTGCCAGCATCTGCAGGCTGACAGCGGGCAGTTTGCCATCGGGTTTCTGTCCACTACAGCACCAAGGCAGCAATTAAAGACCTCCCTTGGGAGGCAAACGGGAAGGTAAGCCCACGATGACCAGCAAAGGGAAGCCCCGGCGATGACTGGAAAGCCCCCCCAGCACCCAGCCGCGCGGCAGAGTCCCGTTCTACCCGCAGTGGGCTGCGAGTAACCCCTGGCCACGGCCACCGTCGTACCCGTCACTGGAAGACTCGGCGCTGACCTCAGCGGGGACGCTTGCTGCGGGACCTGACTGCCTGCATGGTCTTTGCTTTTCCCGTCCATCATCCCAAGGCCAAGGGCTAAATGACCCAACGCCTTTTGCTCCGGCCAGATGAGCCCACCAGCTTGTGCTCGTCTTGCACCATTACAGTGATCAGACGACGATCCAAAACTGCGTAACGGCATTGCAGGGCAAACGCAGAGCCGCTCCCGAGCGCGGCAGCACCCTGACGTGCTGGGTGGACTGGGGAGGACCGGGCTCGTCTGCGTGATGTGGCTCTGCTGGGACTTGGAGGAGAGGGACCGGGTGCATCTGCACGTGACGCCCGGCCTCTTCATCACCACCCTGGGCTGTCCTGCCCGCGGTGGAGGCATCCGCGTAGGGAGCCGTGCCCCGGCTTGCCCTCGCTTGCGGCTCGGCATGGGATGGCACGGCCGGTGCTGGGAACTGCGCTGGGCAAGGTGCCGTGAGCCCCGCGGTGCCGATGAGCTATCCCGCTGTTTATCAAGGTCTGGCGGAAAGAAAACAAGGTAATGGGGCATTTGCTGATTCAATTCGTTGAATTTGAACAAATCTTTTTAATCTTCCTCCCCGAAAGATTGGAAAGGTCAGGAAACAGGCAGAATGTGCACTTTCAGGTATTGAAATTAAACTTGTTAAGAAATCCATATTGATTTGCACTTCTCTGAAAAATACTGAAGCCTCCAGATTTAGCCTGGGTATTGATTTTCTCTTCCAGGGGAAAGACATTGGCACAAAGGAAAGATATTACACGTGGCAGTAAACACCTTCCATCACCGCCCGCTCTCCCACACGAGGCTGCTGGGGCAGCCCTGCAGCTGCAGGCGCCCGGAGGCCACGGTGCCGCCGCCGTGGTCCCCTCCATGCGTGGGGCTGCTGCTCTCTGCAGCTTCCCGAAGCGGGGACGGGCAGAGGGAGGTGCTGAGCTCCTCTCCCTGGTACCCAGGAACAGGACGCCTGGGAGCGGTGCAAAGCTGTGCCAGGGAGGGTCAGACGGGACACCAGGGAGCATTTCTTCACTGAGAGGGCGGTCAGACCCTGGAACAGGCTTCTGGGAGAGGCAGGCGATGCCCCAAGCCTGTCCGTGTCTCAGAGGCGTCTGGGCAATGCCCTTCACAACGTGCTTCAGCTCGCGGCCAGCTCTGAAGCCGCCAGGCAGTCGGACTGGGTGACCGCTGCAGGCTCCTTCCCATCAAAATCCTCTGTTCTGTGCTGCTCTGTCCTGTGCCAGCAGCTCCGTTCCGGAGCTCCTCACTGCTGTCCAGGCAGCCCAGCGCCAAGGGCCCTTCGGATGCCGCTC